CGCTACAGGGTTCTCAATGGCTTATTTTTCCCAAGTAGATCACTAGGCCTTTCTGGGTGGACTCAGTCAACCTTTTGGTTAGCAGCCAAGCCTGTTAACCGTTTGCACTGCTTAGAGTGTCTCTCTCTCTATATATATCATGGATTCTGTTTCTTTAGCGAATCCTAGGACAGTGTCTTTCAACGCCATCCTGGCCAGCGGGCAATTTTGGGCAGTGTGCCTGTGATCTTCTGTCATAGATTGAATTATGTCCCCCCAAAAATGTGTGTATCAGTTTGGCTGGACGATGATTCCCGGTATTGTGTGATTTTCCTCTATGTTGTAAATCCTGCCTCTATGATGTTAATGAGGGAGGATGGGCGGCAGTTGTGTTTGTAAGGCAGGACTACAAGATTGGATTATGTCCTGAGGCAATCTCTTGAGATGTAAAAAAGAGAAGTGAGCAGAGAGACAGGGGGTATCTCTTACCACCAAGAAGAGTTGGGAGCAGAGCAAGTCCCTTGGACCCGGGGTCCTTGCGCGGAGAAGCTCCTAGTCCAGGAGAACATTGATGAGAAGGCCAACAGAGAGAGAAATGTGTAGAACAAGGACTAGTGGGCAGCGGCTGGTGGGCAGGCTGGCTTAGTGGCCTGAAGGAGGACTGGAAGACTGGATGAGATCTGGGGCGAGGGATGTGGACCGTGCTCTGAGTGCCTCTCACACCCACCAGAGAGCACCTTCTCCTGCCAGCCTTCAGGTCCTGAAGCCACATGTCAGTTGGTGAAGCTGCAATACCCCATTGTAGGCTGAATTGTCTACCCCTCTCCAGCCATGAAAAAAAAAAAAGGTATGTTCAAGTCCTAATCCCTGTACCTGTGAACGTGACCTTGCTTGGAAATAGGGTCTTCACAGATGTAATTAGTCAACATGAGGAAATACCAGAGTAGGGTGGGTTCTAATCCTAGATGAGTGGTGTCCTTATAAGAGAAAAAGAGACACAGACTCAGAGGAGAAGGTGACATGAAGACAGGCAGAGGTGGGAGGGATGCAGCCACCAGCCAAGGAACGCCAGGAGCCACTAGAAGACGAGAAAGGGTCTTCCCCTAGAGCCTTTGGAGGGGACATGGCCCTGTGGACACCCTGAATTTGGATTTCTGGCCTCAAGAACTGTGAGACAATAAATGTCTGTGGCACTTTGTCATGGCAGTCCTAGGAAACTGGTACACCACCAAATAGGGGACTCCAGGTCATACGCACACTCAATCAGGTGGTGTATGGGCAGAGCGAAACCCGCTCTTAAAGGCCACCACCTCCCAGTCTCTGTGAAGATGGACACAGAAAGTCAGCGTGACTGGTGGCCCGGGAAGCTGGAAGTCCTCCTGGCTGGTGTGTTTCCCCAAACCGTGGGCAGTTCCAGAAAAGTCCGGCACTGTCGGTCCACGACAGCCCCACCCGCAAGAAGAGAGCGTGACACTGTGTTGTGGGGGGCAGATCAGCCCATGGGTCTTTTGTAGGCTCCTTAAAAATTAGCAGCTAAATCAAAACGACTCACAGCACATTAGAAACACATCGCCTGCCCACCAGCCCTGGAGTAGACGACACAAACACCTTAGTCCCCGATGGCCTAGCGCCTTCAAAGACAGATACCACCTTCATTCATCTCCACCTTTGCTTGATGTCTGACATCATTTTTGCCCACGGTGCATGCAATTTTCTTTCATTTCCTGTTTATTTTTGTTGACAGAAATTACAAGCGAGAAGCAATTCTCTGTTCACAAAAATGTGTGACAACAGACCCACCACCGCCCCACGCCCTTCCTCAGGCTAATTCCTGTCTGAGTTCCTCTGGAAGCTCAGTCATCTGCCCTCAGAACAGGAAGGAGGGCATTTAAAGGGAACACTAAATTAAAAAAATCCTTCAGCGTGGCCCAAACTTAGCTGCTGCTTCTTCAGGAGGAAAACTCAGAAGGTGTAGAGGAGGCTCTGGGGGTCAGCCGGACCCCAGGCTCGCCCCCCAGAACTACTCGTTAAGACAGGTGACTGCCCCAGGACTGAGGTACGGTGGTGCCGAGGCAAAACGCTTCTGCATTCCCACAGGGAACGCGCTACGAGAGCAGGCTGTGGGATTTTACACCCGTTGGCTCTCGGGATTCCTCTACCCTCCTGTTCCTGAGCTTTCCAGAAAGCGATTCCTGGTCTCCCCCATCTTCTGTGGTTCTCAAAGTTCTTATCCGAAACCAGTGGTTCTGTCTGGCTGAGGAGATGGCCCATTCCTTCTCACAGTGCTGAGTGGCCCTTTTGCCCTCCCCACTGCCCCCCAGCAGAATACGGAGTCCCTCACATGTCTGCATCACAGGCCCAGGTCCAGACACTCACACACAGCCGGAGACTCCATCCCCCTCACCTTGCTGGGGCACAGCAGGGGGCCTCACACCCAGGGGATGCTCCACCACCCGTGGCCAAGACTCATGGCCATGGACCCAATCCAGCCTGACGCTTGCTTGTCTACAGCCCACGAGCTTATATTTTTATTTTGAAAAAACAAAAAATTCCAAGACATGTAAAAATTATGTGCAATTCATAGTTCGGTGTCCATTAATAAAATGTCATTGGACCAACACCACACCCGCTCACAGTTGTCAGGGCTGCTGGCACGCTAGGTCGGCAGAGTCGAGCAGTTGCAACAGTTACCATTGAGTTGATTCCGACTCATGGCGACCCCACGTGCCGCAGTAGAACTGCACGCCCCTGGGTTTTCAATGGCTGTTTTTTCCGAAGTAGATCGCCAGGTCTTTTTTACGAGGCATCTCTGGGTAGGCTCAACCCTCCAACCTCGCGGTTAGCAGTTGAGTGTGTTAACCGTTTGCACCACCCAAAAACCTGTTGCCGTTGAGTTGATTCCAATTCACAGGGACCCTACAGGACAGAGTAGAAATGCCCATAGGTTTCCAAGGAGTGGCTGGTGGATTTGAGTTGCTGACCTTTTGGTTTTGCGGCCAAGCTCTTAACCACTGTGCCACCAGGGCTCCATTTGCACCACCCGAAAAAAACCGAAAAACCAAACTTGTCACCAGGTGCTCCAAACTATTTACTGCCTGGCCCTTTAGAGTTTGCTTGAGATTAGTGATTCCCAAAGGAGTCTATTGGGTAGGTTGTGGGCTACGACAACTGTCTCAGTTAGTGAGCAACACCGGGGAAGACAAAGGTGACAACGGGAATCTTTAAAATAATAATAAAGCAACTCATGCCAAATAAGCACTCAAAAAAAAAAAAACCCCCCAAAAAAACAAACAGAACAAACCCATTGCCGTCCAGTCGATTCCGACTCATAGTGACCCTATAGGACAGAGCAGAACTGCCCCATGGGGTTTCCAAGGAGCAGCTGGTGGATTCAAACTGCTGACCTTTTGGTTAGCAGCCTGAGCTTTTTAACCACTGCGCCACCAAGCACTCACGAGAAGTGCACCCACACCCACAACTGAAGCGTGCATGCATGAAATACGGGAAGCCTACTTCTAAGCTTAAAGAGAGAAAAAGCTTCACAGAAAACTGATAGCAACCATTGCTTTAAGAACAGGGTGGATCGAAGTTTCTGTGGAAAGAGTCGTCGGGCGTGGCATCAGAGGTGGCTGTGGCATCGTCCAGGGCAGTGTTCTGCAGGTGGGGAGACACGCAGGGGTTACCATTATGACTGGCAAGACTGTGACGTGGTTTTATGAGAAGGAAGAAACAGAGTCTGGGTATTATGGATTGAATTGTGTGCCCCCAAAATAGGAGCAGGAATCCCGGCCCCCTATACCTGTGGATGTAATCCCAATAGGAAAAAGGGTTTTCTTTGTTATGTTAAAGAGACCATATCACTGCAGGGTGTGTCCTTGTAACACCTTTACTAAGGTCATGCCCCTGATCCAATGTAAAGGGAGTTTCCCTGGGGTGTGGCCTGCACCACCTTTTATCTTACAAGAGATATAAAGAAAGGGAAGCAAGCAGAGAGGGGGGACCTCACACCACCAAGAAAGCAGCACCAGGAGCAGAGCACATCCTTTGGACCAGAGGTCCCTGTGCTGAGAAGCTCCCCAACTGAGGGAAGATTGATGACAAGGGCCTTCCTCCAGAGCCTACAGAGAAAGCCTTCTGGAGCTAACGCCCTGAATTTGGACTTATAGCCTACTAGACTATGAGAGAATAAACTGTTTGTTAAAGCTATCCACTTGGGGTATTTCTGTTACAGCAGCACTAGATAGATGACTAAGACAGTCCTAACCCTTATCACTTCTGAGACAGCAAAAGAGCAGATGAGACACAGGGACAAGCACAAACAGGGGAGACAGGCCACGTGAAGACTGCCAAAGAACCAAGGAAGCCGAGACAAGGACCGTCCCCCAGCACCAACAGAGAGAGAGCCTTCCCCTAGAGCCAGCACCCTGAATTTGGACTTCTAGCCTCCTAAACTGTGAGAAAATAACTGTCTGTCCATTAAAGGCAGCCACCTGTGGCATTTCTGTGAGAGCAGGGCTAGGAGACTCCCGACACTGGTGTGGGTGACATGCAGGGGGCACAATGAGCGAGGGTCAAAACCCAAGAACGAACCCAGCCCCAGGGGGATGCTGCCCCTGAGAAAGGCATGAACCGTCCACCTTTCCTGAGCTCCCTCTCGATTGTTCCCACCCTTCATCCTTCTCCAGAAAAGGCACTCTCTTCTTCCTACAATCCTCACGCCCCAATCTTTGTGTGTGTTCACCCGCCCGGCCACCTTCTCTTCTAATATGATTTCCTTGTTAAATCATTTTCAGAGAAAGTGAAAGAAAAACGCCATTCATTGAATAAGATATAAATAGATTCATTTCAATAGCAAGTACTAATACAAGGGAAGGAGCAATATTTCTGCTGGCCCGACGCCGCGCCTTGCTACCCGTCATTGATAAGAAGTGCCCACCACTGGGCAATTAGAAGTCACGGGTGTATCTAGTGTTTACGAAAGGAAGAGAATGGTCCCTGGGTAGGAAGAGGGTGACAAGAGTTCACTGCTGGTCTGGCAGCCCTGGGTTTAGTTGGTCCTCTGGTTCCGCTCCCGGGCAGCCACGAAGTTCAGCAAATCGATGGCGGTGACAACCCCAAACACCATCTGCCTCTTACTGGACTTCCCCTGGCTGTGGTCTGCAGAGAGAACAGCAAGGTGGGCAGTGAAAAGGCGTCTCTATGGGAGCTGAGCTGAGATGGACATGCCCACCCCAGAGCCCCTTTCCTGCCAGAGCCCCCCGGGTGCCCAAAAGCACTGGGGGCCATGGGACAGCAGGGAAACTTCTCAGGGAGCTCAACAGTAAATGAGGTCCTCTCCTGACAGGGGCTGCCCAGGCATCTGGGCCGAGCTGCAGAGCAGAGCCTGCACCAGGATCGGGCAGTGCCCTGCCCTGAGCTGGCTCCCGCCAGCTGTAGAACCAGCCTGTGGGGTTCCTCTGTGCCCAACGATGAAATTCAAATTTCCCCATGGGCAAAATGCAACTCAAACGTGCCCTAGGATTGTGCCCTCCAAGTCCTCCAGGGTGACTCAAGCTTAGAACAATGCCTGCCCAGACCTCCATGCCCTGGAGCAGAGAGGGTGGTTAGAACTCCATGCCTGGGACAGAGGGTGATTAGACACCCTGCAGTGGGATAGAAGGTGGTTAGGACCCCTGCTCTGGGGCAGAGAAGCAAATGAGAACTGCCCAGGTCAACCCATCAGATCCCCTTTCCCAACCCATGACCATCCCTGTACACCCTGCTCCTGCCTTTGCTAGCAGAGGTCAGCTGGGCATGGGTGGTGTGGGGTGGGCAGAGGCAGGCCCTGTGGGGAGCTCCCTGTCCCAGGAGACTGCACTCCCTGCTGGGAAAAAGCAAGGGGAGCACAGAAGTCAGGGACATTGAGGGCAACGTTGGTGACTCCAGGGCTGAGATGCCCAAACTAAGTCAGCAAGAGACTAAGGGGAGGAAGGGCAGGTTACCCAATAAGCAAGATATGCAGGGGCTTCCTTACTAATCTGTAGTGCACAATTTCACCTGTTTTTCACCACATGAAAGATGTGAAACCCGCGTGCAATTGTGTACTACAGATGAGTAAGGAAGCACAGTTAAGCCTGTGCGTACATTGCTTACTGGTTAATCTGCCCCTGAAGGGTGGGAACGCCTCTCTCCCTCCCCCTGCCCACTGGCCCCCACCCCAGGGGAGCTCACGACTCTCCAGTGGTGAGGGTCAGCCACAGAAGCTGGGGAGCCCGGCCGCCCTCCTTGGTCCTCAGGGGCCGTGTCTAAGTGTGGGTGAGGTCTCGTACGTACCTGCAGGCCCCCCCACCACGCCCGACAAGGCCTGGTCCTGGGCTGCGGAACCAAGGGCAGGAGAGGGGTTAGACGGAGACCGGCCCTCAGCGGGGCCAAGCCGCCACACCCACCGCGCCTGCCGCGCACAAGGCCAGGGCTGAGGGCTAGGGCAGGTGGCCTCCAGGGCCCCCCCATTCCTTACTGCAGGCCCTAGGGCAGGGGCTGTTTGTTCCACTCTTGGAAAATGAGAATCCTGGCCTACAGAGAGGCTCTGAGGATGACCGAGAGGGGTGGCTTTGTGAGCGCGGGTCAGCTACAAGCCCCAGGAGCACTCTGGGGGCGGATAGGCCCGCTGAGATCCACCCAGCCCAGAGGTCCCCTTGAGAGATACCCCGAAGCCCTGACCATGAGGCAGTAGAGAGGATGCCAGGAGTCTGGGAGCTGCTGAAGGACACTCAATCTCGATGATGAGAAAATGACGTGGGCCGTGTCAAGACTTGTGACTACCCCAGTCCCAGAGGCTAAGGGCTTCCTTGGCTAATTAGCTAAAGGCTAACTGTGCTTTCTTACTAATCTGTAGTAGGCTAAGGGCCTCGGCACCTGAGCCCATGCACTCAAGTCCCACCCAGAGCAGAAGAGGGGTGCCTCTTCATTCCAAAGGCACATCGGGCCAGGGTCTGGGGTCGGAGATCAAAGAGGGGAGGCTGAGGTCAGTGACCGATGGCGGGGTCTCACTGCTATGCAGACCTTACATCCGCAGGAGGCACCACCCACATGATGGAGGCTGGTGCAGGGAGGCAAGGGTGCCCGGCTGCAGTGGTCTTACCCCTACTGCCCAGCACTGCCCCCTGCTCCCCTGAGCCCCCCACCAGCCTGGGCCTGAGCCGGGGCCCCACTCACACTGAATCTGCTCGTGCACCACCAGGGCAAAGTGGTCCATCTCCAGGATGTGCGAGAGCTGTCCCAGCGGGTCCGTCAGGCGGATCTGCAAAAGAAGCCACAGCTAGGCTCACTCACCCGCCCGCGTGGAGCACCAGGCCTCTGGGCCAGAGCCTGAGGTCTGCTGCCCCTGGTGGCCGCCGCCTGCCACTGCACGGGAGGCCAGGGGAGGGAAGGAATGGGGTGATGAGGGGCTTCCGAGGGGGAACAGTCCCACCCGCATCGCCCCAGAAGACTCCTCCTTCAGCCTTTTGCTCTGATTTAGAAACTGAAAGTAGGAACCAGAGGGTAATATGACCCCGGTAAAAAGACAAACCTTAAATACACACTGCTAAATGAAAAGAAGCCAGTCTGAGAAAGCTAATACTGAGTGATTCCAACCTCTGTGTGCATTCGGGAAAAGGGAAAGTTTCAGAGACACTGAAAAGATTGGTGGTTTCCAGGGGCTCAGGAGGAGGGATGAATAGGGGGGCACAGAGCATGTTGAGGGCAGAGAAACTATTCTGTATGATGCTGTAATGGCGGACACAGGACTCCATGGTTTTGTCAAAACTCACAGGATTGGACGACTCAAAGAGTAAATCTCAGTGTGAACATGGACTGTAGGTAATAACAATGTATCAATACTAGTTCATCAAGTGTAACAAACGTACAAGAGTGCAAGACGCTAATAACAGGGGCGACTGTGCAGGGGGCTAGGGGTGGGAAAAAGGGGTATATGGGAACTCTCTGTGCTTCCTGCTCAGTAGAAAAATTATTATAATTTCTAATAAAAAAAAAACCCTAAGGGTTCATCTTTCGAAGTTAGATACAACTGGACTCACTGCAGCATCACATAAAGGAGTTCTGAGTGGCTCCAGGGGAGAAGGACAGGAAATCTCGGGGAGGACAGAACGGACAGGGAAAATCGGGACGGAAAATGGGGAACGGGAGAAGAGGAGAGACCAGCCAAGACACAGGACCTTGACCTTGGCTGAGAGGTGAGGAGGGGGGCCAAGTAACCCACCCTGGCCAAGCCTTGGTGTAAACACTGGTCCCATCACCCCACTCCGTCACTCCATCCACAAGCCATCTCCTGGCTAATCCTGTCATGAGGGCCCGGCACAGAGAAGACAGAGGAAGGGCAGGAAATGAGGCAGACAGAATGGAAAAAGGGGCCCAAACCAGTCCTTTGCTGCCTCCCAACAATCGCCCAGACCTACGCTGGGCAGCGCTCCCTCAGCCACCGCCCAGACCCACACCGGGCAGCAACCCCCCAGTCACCGCCCAGGCCCATGCGGGGCGGCACCCCCCCAGCAACTGCCCAGACCCACGCTGGGTGCCCCACAACCCGAGCCACCGCCCAGGCCCACACGGGGCGCCCACCCCTGCAGCCTCCGCCCAGGCCCACGCTGGGCCCCCCCCACCCCAGCGACCGCCCAGACCCACGCCAGGCCCCCCACCAACCCCAACGACCACCCAGGCCCACGCCAGGCACCCCCCCACCCCAGCCACCACCCAGGCAGGCTCTCTAGGTTGCCTCCAGCAACAGAGGCCAATTTCCCTTTGAAAGACGTGAGTTCAAAGGGGCAAGTAGAAAAGTTTTAGCATTGTTTTCCATTGGGTAATTGTGCAAACTGGACTCAGACCCGGTGCAGATGCAGGTGACGGGTCATTTAGAGAAAGCCAAACTCCCTGAATGCTTGTCCCTAAACTAAACACAGTTAGCGGACCAAAGGAAGGTGTACTTTGAACAGCCTCAGGATTCTGTCTCTCTTCCCCGGGACCCGGCTGCTCAGAAAATCCCCCGTGAGCCCTGAAGCCCCCGGACCTCCCTAGGCTCGGGAGGACAGCTACAGGACAGGCAGTGTGTGCAGCAGAGGGGAGCCACCACGTTTGTCATTGTTTATTATTATTTTGCGACCATCACCACCATTTCCAAAACCTTTACATCACCCCAAACAGAAACTTGACACCCATTAAGCAGTCACTCCCCAGTCCCTCCTATCCCCAGCCCCTGGAAACCATTAAATCCACTTTCTGTCTCTATGCATTTGCCTGTCTCAGATATCTCACAGAAGTAGGATCATACCATACTTATTCTTTTGTGTCTGGCTTCTCTTACTCAGAATGATGTTTTCAAGGCTCATCCGTGTTGCGGCGTGCATCAAGACCTTCTTTTTCTTTATGGCTGAGTAATATTCCATTGTATGTGTCATGGATTGAACTGTGTCCCCCCAAAATATCTGTCAACTTGGCTGGGTCATGATTCCCAGTATTGTATGATTGTGTACCATTTTGTCATCTGATGTGATTTCCTTGTGTGTTGTAAACTCTATCACTATGATGTAATAAGACGGATTAGTGGTAGTTATACTGATGAGGTCTACAAGATTAGCTAGTGTCTTAAGCCAATGTCTTTTGAGATATAAAAGACAGAAGTGAGCAGAGACACATGGGGACCTCGTACCACCAAGAAGGCAGTGCCGGGAGCAGAGTGTGTCCTTTGGACCTGAGGTTCCTGCACTGAGATGCTCCAGCTTTTCCCTGGAGCTGACACCCTGAATTTGGACTTGTAGCCTACTAGACTGTGAGAGAAGAAACTTCTCTTTGTTAAAGCCATCCACTTGTGGTATTTCTGTTAAAGAAGCACTAAACGAGCAAGACAGTATGTATGTACCCTATTTTGCTCATCCAATCATTTGTTGATGGGCATGTGGGCTGTCTCCACCTTCTGGCTATCATGAATAGTACTACAATGAACACTGGTGTACAGCGGGTTTGCATCCCTGCTTTCAAGTCATTTGGATACAAACCCAGGAGTGGATGTGCTGGGTCATATGGTGACTCTATGTTTAGCTTCTCGAGGACCCAGTTGCCAAGTTTTAAATGGTGGTGCCATACATTCCCCTCATGACAGGGTGGTATCTGATCTGGAGCAGGGAAGGAAATGCGATGCCCTCAGAAAAAGGGTGTCCTGCCTTCTGCCACACTCCCGAGATGCCCTGCTCCCGCCAGCCTGGCCCAGAAGCCGCGTCGAGACACCATGGCCAGCAGTAAGCGGGGCCACAGGGCTCCACTGCACTGTGGAGTGGGGGTGTCACTGGGACCTGACGTGGACTCTGAGGGACAGAACAGGGCACAGACTTAGGCATTACACTGGCGGTCTCCTTCAGCTCCCCTGGGTTCTGCCAGAGCCACACAGAGAGAAGACTCAGCATATTAATGAGACAGGAGAGCCAGGGAGAGCCTCAGGGGGTCCAAGCAGGAGCTGTGTGTGAGTGTGTGAGGGTATGTATAAGCATGAGTGCATGAGTGTGTGTATGCGAGTAAGAGTGTGTACCAGAAAGAGAAAAGTCTAATTCATTCCTAGATTCGGGCTCAACCCCCAACCATTCATGTGTAAAGCAGGGCATGCGGATGCCACTCCCACGCACTGGAAGGTTGGGATGAGGACTTGGCCCACCCGAGATGTGGGTACCCTGACTCCACCTCCCTGCAGGGACACCATGCAGGTCCAGGTCCATCAGAGGGTGGCGGTGTTCTCCATTGGGATAGGGGCCTCAGGACAACTGCCGGGCTGACCAGCCAAGGAGCCATGCTGGTGCCTCTCCCAGAATGTTCTAGTCCTTTCTGAGTAAGTAAGCACACCAGGCACTCTTAAACAAATGCACCCACAGGAAGAAATCAGGCTGAGGATGACCAGAGTGACCGATTCCCCCGCAGGCCCAAGGCAGCTGCTAACACCCTGGGCCATTCTACCATCTGGTGTGGTGGGGTGGCCCTCCCCAGTGCACACCACTTGTGAAGGCAGCGAGCCTCGGCTTCAGCATCGGCCCGGCTGACACCGAATGGCCCCTTGTACCAGGACCCACCTGGTGCCTCACCTGTTTGAACTGCCTGTAGATGACCTTGCGGACTTGGTCTGAAGGCTGCACCTTCCCAGCGAGCAGGGATGACAGCATGTTCCCGAGAGTGACCATCCCCAGGATCATACTGGAAGGAGGCAGGGGGTGGGGGTCAGAGGTCTGTGCATGTATGTCGCCCCCTCCCCAAGACCGCAGAATATGCCCAGAGCCACCTTGAGCACCAGACAATTGGCTCTTGGGCCAAACACTGAGTTCTTAGAATTCAACAAAAATTTGCCTACGATGTCGAGGGAATACAGCAGCGAGTGACCCACACAGACAAATGCTCCCGCCCCTCTGCTCCGAGCTGAACTTTCTGTTCTGAAAACCTCCTGAGAGAGGGCGACCGGCCACCTGGCTCCATCTGATGTGAATCCCCTCTGCGGACACGTCCTTAGCCAGACTTTATTGTCACCATTGTGGGTCGAATGTGCCCCCCAGAAAGATATGTGGGAGTCTTAACCTCTGTACCTTGTTTGGAAATTGGGTTTTTCTTTTGTTATTAGTTAATTAAATTAATGAGGTCATACTGGACTAGGGTGGGTCCTGATCCTAACCCTGTCTGGGTGGTGTCTTATTTAAGGGGAGAACAGGCACAGAGAGACACACGGGGGAGACATGTGAAGATGCATCTACAAGCCAAGAAATGCCTTGGGCTAAGGAGCCCTGGCAGCGCAATGGTTAAGTGCTCTGCTAACTGAAAGGTTGGCGGTTCAAATCCGCCAAGCAGCTCCAAGGGAGAATGACCTGGCGGTCTGCTTCCATAAAGATTACAGCCTAGAAACCCCGTGGGGCAGTTCTACTCTGTCACATGGGGGCACTGTGAGTCGAAAATCGGCTTGACGGCACCGAACATCACCACCTGCAGCTGGAAGAGGCAAGGGGAGGCTCACCCCCTAGAGTGGATTTCCGGCCTCCAGAACTGTGAGACAATACATTCCAGTTCTTTAAAGCCACCAGTTTGTGGTACTTGTTTCTGGCAGCCCTGGGGGTCTAAGACAGTTATCTCTAACTGCCTCCCAGCCAGAGGCGAAAGACAGCCTGGGTGCATTGTAAATGGGGGTGGGACATAGGTGCTAGGGTCCAACCCATGGCTCTGGCCAGGCTCAGGGAAAAGATTGCCAATGTCTGGGCCAATGCCGTGGACATCATATACCAAGAGACCAAGGTCCATCAGCTGGAGGTCCTCATGGCTGCCCCACCCAGAGCCTCCGGGGTGGGGGTGGGGGGTGCTGGTGCAGGAGGAAGATGAGGGGGGAAGCTGAGACTGACCCCGTCTCATCGACCACGGGCGCCTGGTCAAAGCCCTTCTCCCGGAGGATCTCGATGGTGTGTTCACAGGTGACAGTGGGCAGCACAGTCAGCGGGGCCGACAGGCTCAGCTCCTGGACTCTGAGGTGCCACCACCTGAGGGGAGAGCAGGTGTGGTGGTCAAGGTCCAGGCTGCCCCACATGCGGTTGCACCACGCAAGGGAGCCCCCAGGGCAGCACCCACCAAGGCTGAGCTCCCTGCCCTGTCCCGGCCAGACGGGGATGGGCCCCGGGGAGGCCCTGCAGGCCACGGGAGGCGGTTCTGCTGGGAGGTCCTTACCATGGCTTCTTCACTATCATTTTCTCCTCCTTCATGAAGCCCTTTTGCAGCATCCACCGGTCGCTCAGGAACTTGGACCTGAAACCCCAAGGGGCAGTCACTGAGGCACCGGCCCTCACCATTGTCTCGGCCCCTATGCACACCAGTCAGCAACGCGACTGTACTCAGAGAGGGCCCAGCACCACCCCCCAGACCCCTGGGATACGCTGGGCCCAGGCTCCAGGGAGAGGCCCGGGGGCCGGGTTTCAGAAAGCTGGTTGTGAACTGTGGACTGATGGGGCATCATGTCAACCAGGGAACACGTGTCTGAGGCACCGGGGTCAACCTGGGTGTATGTGTCTGGGGCAGAATGAGCTCAGAGCTCAGGAGGGCGTCCTCTCTGGAAACATCTGCGATCAAGCCCTCTGTGGGCTCCACCCCTGGCCTCCCCTCCACCCAGAATGGACCAGAGCAGGCCTCTGGGGCTGCCAGAACTTGCCTTAAAATGGTAAACCAGGGACAGAGGACATGGGGAAGTAGGAGTGACTCACCTCCCACTGCCACACACTCACTCATACACACACAACACACACACTCAATGTACACACACACATGCACACATTCTCCACACGCACTCACATGCATAGACTCTACACCCACACTGTCATGCACACACACACAACGCACATGCACACATACTCTCCACACACACATGCACACACACTCCACTCATACTCACATACACACTCTCCACACACACACATGCACACATACTCTCCACACACACATGCACACACACTCCACTCCTCATACTCACATACACACTCTCCACACACACATGCACACATACTCTCCACACACACATGCACACACACTCCACTCATACTCACATACACACTCTCCACACACACACATGCACACATACTCTCCACACACACACACTCAAATACACACATACTCTCCACACACACACTCATGCACACGCTCACATGCACACACAAACACACACACACTCACACACACAAGTGTGTGTGCATAGCAAGCAGCCAAGAGTGGGTGACGGGCATTCTGGCCCTCAGCTGGCGGGGGCAAGCCCTGCTCAGGTCCTTGGCAGTGAGCCCCCAGATGTGAGTCACCCCACACCTGGATCAAACTCTGAGCTCCCACAGCCATGCCTGGCACCAGCAAGGGCAGCTGAGCTCACCACAAATATGTACACCCCCGTGCGGCCTCATGAACCCGGGAGGGGGTGTCACTCTGGAAAGAAATCATAGCTGGAGGTTTGAAGCTGCCATGTGGGAGCCGGTCTGTTTGTGGATCCAGACACAGAGCACACACACACTCAGCCATACCAGAGCTGAGGAGGGACCATAGAGGCTGCTGGTCTAACATCTCACTGCCCAAGAAACCCAAGTCTGAAGAGGTTGGGAAGTCACACTGTGCTGAGTCCACTGACCGGGGCCACCTGCTCCAGCCAGGGCTGTCTGCCTGGCCCACACCTGCTGAGGGCCAGCAAACGTGCAGGTGCGGTAAGGAGGGTGGGGAGGGAGTGCGGCATCACTCAGGGCCGAGGAGAGAGCCCAGGCTGGGAGGGAGAGGCCTCCTGCAGGAAAAGCTCCCTGGACACGTGAGGGCTGCCACTTTGCCTCGAAGGCCCAAGATGGCGACCAGCAGCCAAGGAAGTATGGGTTCCCGAGACCTGGAGGAGGACCCTGAAGTCCACGAGGGCGAAGGCAGAGCTTGTGGGGGTCCCTGACCCCCCTCGCCACCTCCCTGCTCTCAGAACCTCAAGTGAGGCACAGTGGGGGCAGTGACAGCCGCCAAGGAAAAAGGAAGGGTTAATGGAAGGAGGAGGAAGACCCGAGAGGAAGAAGGGACCGTGGCTCACATGTAGTTCCTCACGGAGTCGGGCAGGATGACCACACAGCGCTGGCCCTCCTGCAGCTCCTGGGCGGCCTTCACGGCAATGCACATGCTACTGCCTGCACTGCCCCCTATGAGAGAGATGGACTTCCTGAGACCCCCGGGCAGCTCGTGCACACACGTGCATGTGTGTGAGTGTGTGCATATGTGGGCACACATGCGTGCACGTTCGGACATGCTCTGGAAGGATCTGCAGGGACCTGCCAGCCGTGACGGCCTCTGGGGAGAGGAGCTGGACTCTGAGTACTGAGAGGATCCTCAGGGGTGCCAGGAGGACAAGCTGAGGTCGGACAAGGGGGGTTCTGTGCTTGCTAATTCAGTGTTTGTGGGGACTTTACAGAACATAACTCCCGTGGACAACGAGAACTGGCAGTAACAAGCTCACGGGGCTGTGTGGACACCGGGCATATTAAGCTAGAGCTCCGCCGTGGTCTGGAAGGGTGGACATCCCTGTGCTCCTCTGTGCTTCCTGTGGCTGCCACGCACTGCAGACTCTGCCATCACCACAGCGGTGACCCGCTGACCCCACAGAGCAAGGGCAAGGACACGTCGTGACGGAGGGCCGGGTGGTCAGGAGGTGCCCTTGGTGCACGCAGCCCTCTGTCTCACGCTTGAATGAGTCTCTGTGGGCTCAGACTGCAACAGGCAGAGGGCAGGTGCCCCACGTGTCCTCCACCACTGACCCTGTGCGGCCACTCACCACACAGGAGCCCTTCCTGGGCGATCAGCATGCGGGCAAAGGCAAAGGAGTCCTCGTCATTGCTTTTGAACCACTTATCCACCACCTGCAGGCAACACCAGATGGACCGCTGGTCAACACGGAGGGGCTGCCTGGCACACAGCTGTGTCGGAACTCAGACCCCACAGCACCCTCACGGGGCAACCTCCTGTTTGGGGGCAAGGACCCCCAACGGACATGGGTGACCTCCAGCGGGCAAAGACCCCCAATGGACATGGGCGACCTCCAGCGGGCAAAGACCCCCAATGGACATGGGTGACCTCCAGCGGGCAAGGACCCCCAATGGACATGGGTGACTTCCAGCAAGCAAAGACCCCTAATGGACATGGGTGACCTCCAGCGGGCAAGGACCCCCAATGGACATGGGTGACTTCCAGCAAGCAAAGACCCCTAATGGACATGGGTGACCTCCAGCGGGCAAGGACCCCCAATGGACATGGGCGACCTCCAGCAGGCAAAGACCCCCAATGGACACGGGTGACCTCCAGCGGGCAAGGACCCCCAGTGGACATGGGCGATCTCCAGCAGGAAAGGACACCCAATGGACATGGCTGACTCTCATCCTAGGATCCAGGACCCATGTCAAACAACCTGGATCTCTCTACTCTCCCCTTGCTTCAATGGATTCTGTGCACAGCAGCTAAAACCACACCACTAGCTCCCGCTACACAGCTGTATGTCCCTGCAGTGGTCTCTGTAGACTCTACCCTAGGTCCGTCAGACCAAAGCCATGCTTCAGGGTCTGCCATCGGTTGAACTGAGTTCCCCTAACCCCTGTACCTGTGAATGTGACCTTGTCTGGAAATAGGATCTTTGAAGATGTAACTAGTTAACTTGAGTCATACTGGAGGAGTATGAATGGTGTCCTTATGAAAAAAAAAGAAGAGGCACAGCAACAGAGGGAAGACAGCCACATGAAGACCAAGGCAAAGATTGCAGTGACGTGTGTACAGCCAAGAGAACAAGGACAGCCGGCAACATCAGCAGCTGGAAGAGACCAGCTAAGATCTTCCCCAGAGCCTCCGGAGACAGCATGGCCCTGTGGATGCCCTGAATTTTACAAGAGAGCATACATTTATGTTGTTCTAAGCCACATACTTTGCGGTCATTTGTTACGGCAGCCCTAGGAAGCTGATATGGGATTCTTTAAAGAGAGACGGCTTCCTGGGGTTCTGGACTTCCCTGTGTTTGCCCAGCTACCTTCCTCTGCAGGTGCCAAATACCACCCTGGCTGAAGCCCAAGTTGCCATGCCGCTGACCTTCTCAGGTCTCTGCCCCATGGGGCCGGGGCAGGTGCTTGGACACAGTGCCGCGTGTTACACTCTCCACCCTGAGACCTGCACTCTCTCTGCTCAGACCAGTGCTGGCTTTTTGGTCTCCCACTCAGGGGAGAGCATGCCAAGGAGCCACAGCCAGGGTGGGGGAGGATGCCCAGCCCAAACGCACCGATCGGTCCAGCACGGTGGGCAGGAAGTCGTAGCCGATGCCTTCTACTTCGTAGGCCGTCTGATCTGTCTGGTTGAGCTCCTCCGGCTCGGCAAGAATGGAGCCCTCGGGGTCCACTCCGATGATCTGCACAGAGCGGTGCCTTAGGGCTCATAACTGAGCTGTCCCACCTGGACACGCCAGCCACGAGCGGGGTGCCCATACCACGCTGACCCACGCCCACTATCGACCTGCCCAGAAGGACGCAGGCCTTGTGCCAGGCCTCAGGCGCAAGACCAGAAAGCTGGAAACCAGGCCATCGTGTGCGGAGACCACAGAGTAGAGTGCCATGCCCAGCACAGAGGACTCCGAGGAAGCAAGCCCCCAGAGGGTCTCGGCACAAGCTGGGCACCCCAGGACAGCCCCAGACAAAGGCAGCACTGAGCAGTGACCACATCCTGGAGAGCAGGAGGGAGAAATGGGCGCTAGGCACCACCAGCTGGGTATTTACCATGAGCCCCTCCCCAAGCCCCTTGTAGCACCATGTCCTGGGCACCTGTCCCCGACCTGCTCAAACCCCAGTCAACGCTACACCATGAAGCGAGCTGGGAAATAACAAGAAGGGTGTAGACACAGTATGGACTATTCTGTAATGACTCTCAGAGGCCACCCAAAGGGATCCCCGAGCCCCTCACCCAGCACAGGAAGCCCCTCTAGGGCATGTGCCAGGAGTGGCCCCCAGCCCCAGCTCTTCGGGTCACTGGGTCAGGGGTGGCTGGCTCCCAAGCATCTCTTGTCAGACACAGACACAGCCACCTGGGCCCGTGCACCTCATTAAGACAGTTATACGGCTGTGTACACAGAGATCAGGAACGAGAACATTCAGCTCTAAGGCAAAGAAGCCACTGGGCGGGTGTAACACCAACGGGCTTGAGGATCACACTCCAACTGTGATTCAGGCCCCACAGGTGAGAGACGCCAGCACACAGGCCCACTGTGCCTCCCCTGTCCCCGGTGGTCCCAGCGGGTCACTCACCTTGCACCCTGGACACTTTTCCTTGAGCTTCCTGGCGATGCCTGTGATGGTGCCACCTGTGCCAGCTGAGACCACCAGCATGTCCAGTTTCCCTATTGGGGGAGAAGGCTGGGTCAGTGGGAGAACATGCTGGGGCCACAGTGCTTCCCCCCACACTCTTCTTTTAATACTAACAGGTGAAAACATAACTCAGCGAAAATTTAAGCAGGTGATCAAAAAGTTCAAAAGAAAACCTAATTTTAAAAGAGCAGATTCTCAAATTTTAAAGACTCTAGTCACAGTCTTTTTTCTTTAAAAAGGCATCTATGGTTTGGCAGTTCCTCAAAAAGTTAAATACAGAATTCCCATAGGACCCCAAAGAATTGAAAGCAGCCATTCAAACAGATTCAAACAGAACATTGTGCACTAATGTTCACAGCAGCATTTGGAAACAATCCAAGTGTCGATCAACAGATGAATGGATAAATAACATGTGGTCTATCCACACAGCGGAATATTACTCAGCTGTAAAAACAAACGAAGCTCTGCTGCACGCTACACCATGGAAGAACCCTGAAAACTTTACACTGAGTGAAATAAGTCAGTTACAGAAGACAAATATTGTATGATCCCATTTATATGAAATGTCTAGATAGGCAAATACATAGAGACCAAAGTTTATTAGTGGTTACCAGGGGCTGAGAGTGAAGTGGAGAGGGAAGTTATTGTTTAAGGAGCACTGAGTTACTGCTAAAAAAAAAACAACCAAAACCAAACCCATTGCTGTCGAGTCAATTCCGATGCATAGCGACCCTGTAGGACAGAGTGGAACTGCCCCGTAGGGTTTCCAGGGAGCACCTGGTAGATTCAAACTGCTGACCTTTTGGTTAGCAGCCGTAGCTCTTGACGAAAAACTTTTAGAAATGAAGAGCTGCAATGGTTGCACAAAACATGGTGAATGTAATTAATGTCACTGAATTGCATGTATAAAAAGGGCAAAATTTCGTGTTACTACGAATTTTATTTCACCACAAAAAATTAAAAAAAAAAAAGAAAAAGAATAGGCATTGAACAACCTTAAAAAAAAAAGACTGTTCACTGTAGCAGGGAATTCCATGACTTTCCTCTGTGCTTTTACACTCACTTAAAATTGTTCAGGTCTTTGCTAAACGGCAGGTGAACACTGAGGTTCCTGCTCAGTTATAAATCCCTCCAGAGAGTCTGAAAGGGCAGACAAGATGGGAGCCAGGGGCAGGGCAAAGGGAGGCTCCTCACTATGTACCTCCTTACCCTTTTGGTTTCTGGATGAGATGAACACACAAGTTGAATTAAATAAACTAGAATGAACCACTTGGCTTCGGCTCAAACGTTACCCACAGTGCTCACACCACAGTGGTCACTCAGCCGTGCACGGACAAGTCTGAGCCTGGTGGACTCATGATGCCAAACAGGGCGGGTGCTGAGCGAGGCAGAGGTGCAGTCTGTGCCAAATGAGAGAATTTGCACCTATAAAACCTGAGCTAGTCAGGGCTAGACTGCACTGACTGGTTCCTCGGCATGGGCTGAGGTTACATGAGTCAATGCTAACACCAGATTCCGCACGGGAAGCCAAGACAGTCAAGTACCTCCCAGCAACTTCTCCCTAAGGCGATCTCCTAGGAAACCAGTACCACCAACCCCTTCAGGACCTGGCACAGATGCTTGGAAAAATTCCCAAGAGCCTCATGCCCACACAGAAAGCAAGCTAATCACAGACATCATCACCCCTGCTCTGGACATGAGAAAAATTTGATATTGAATTCAGAGCCCAAGTTGGGGCTTGATCTCAACTGCCATTCGGCAACAGGAAGCCCTGCCGTGAGCTGGGCTCGGTCCTCAGGCTCATTAAGTACAATAGGTCTGGAGAGGAGACTGCTGGGTAGTTAAACACGACCATGTGATATTTGGAGTTATAGGTGAGGCATGGGCAAAGAGCAGAAAGGAGGGAGGAAACAACTCTAAGGAAATTCTTCAGAAAGCATTTCACAGAGGGGACATTTGAGATGGGTTTTAAGGGATGAATACGAGTTTACCAAGGAGAGAGTAAGGGACTTATACACTTCCAGACGATCAGGGATAAACACAGACAAAAGGGCTGGCGTAGAAGTACACACCATCACACTGCTGCAAGATCTCCTCAGCGGTGGTATCATAGTGAGCCAGGGGGTTGCTGGCATTGCGGTACTGAACGGAAAAAGAGCAAAGGGCTGTGAGTGAGCTCCAACACACAAAATTAGCAGCGGCCACATGAGCATTGGGCCAATAGCTCAGTGCAAGCCAGAGAGAACCCCAGCGGTTCAGGACGAGGGGGCCAGTCCCTGAGGTTATTCTAGGAAACACCATGGATGCAGACTTAAAAGCTCCTCCCGAAAAGATGCAATCTCTGGAGTAACCCAGAAGTGAAGCATGCAAGACGGAAGAGCTTCCATTGAGCAGGTTTTTACGTGTTTTGTGCCCATGGCGAGCTTCCAGGGACCTCTGGAAGGCCATTCCAGCCCAACTGAGAGGAGCCGGCCAGCCAACCTTCACGTGAACTGCAGAGCCCAGGGTCCACTGACCACCAGACTCCCTGCAGGAGGACCTCACCGGGCCCAGGATGCAGCCAGCTTGCCAAGTCCCAGGCCTGTCTCCTCAGTAGCCCCTACTCCTGCTGCAGAACCGGGCCCCACCCCAATCCCTGACAAAGACCCCAGGAAAGCACCCCCCTTTATGTGCAAACCTCTGAACACAAACCCAAGGCCCCCAACCCTCACCTGGTCTAATATGTGAGAATTGGGGATTTCATTCTTCAGCCTCCAGGCCACGCCCACGTGTGACTCAGGGGAGTCGAACCTGGCGTTGGTGGGCGTCCTCACGATCTCAGCCCCCAGAGCACGCAGGACGTCCACCTGGATCGAGGGAGAGCTGTCCGTGCCAGTGTCCCACCAGGCCCAAGTGGGGAGGGGGTCTGGGTGAGGGGCAGAGGGTGTCCCCCAGTCCCGCCCCGCCCTGCCGACCCACCTTCTCGGTGCTCATCTTTTCGGGCATCACGATAATGCAGCGGTAGCCTTTCACAGCAGCAGCCAGCGCCAGCCCAATCCCTGGGGGCAGCACATGGGGGTAAGAGGGGCCGCAGAGCCCTCCAACCCTGCAGGGGGCAGCTGCCACCCAGCCGCACCCGAGGACAGCACCGGGGGCAAGGCACTAAGGGATTCCAAAGACACTCCATGGTGTCCCCTTCTGCCCTTCATGAGGGGCAAGAAGAGAGAATGTGGGGAGGGGGAGGGGGCGCAGAAATACAAAAGCGCCTAACGCAGGGTGCAGCGCGGGGTCCGCTCCACCGGCTTGCATGGGGCACCCACGCCCTTACTGGGCGCCCTGGGAGGCCACAGCAGCAATCCCAGCCGCTCCCTGGGGCTGCCCTGCTGGCTGGGCCCTCGCCCGGGAAATGATCATGGACCAGGACCCCTGGAGACAAGCCGCTGGGTATGAAGCGGCATCACGTGGTGCCAGGGAGCCCGCAGGGTGGCACAGGTGGGGCACGGGGACTACCGGACCGCCCTCCCGGCTCGCGCCCGCCCACCTGTGTTCCCTGACGTGGGCTCAATGATTGTGTCCCCCGGCTTCAGAGTCCCGGCCCTCTCGGCATCCTCGATCATCCGCAGGCTGATGCGGTCCTTCACGCTCCCACCCGCGTTGAAGAACTCACACTTGGCCACTGCGAGCCAGAGGGGAGGTCACAGAGGGGAAAGGACCCCCCACCTCTCACCCAAGTTGCCCAGGAGGCAGGGAGAGGCTCGGCCTTTGCTGATTCTGTAAATCAAGTCCTCTCCATTCCCACCTGCATTCCAGCCCTCCACACCTGGACAAGGTTCTTGGAGATTCTCCCCCCTCGCCCCCACCAATCCAGCCCCTGGCCTCCCCAGACCACATGGTGACTTGGTGTGAATGAGAAGCAGGTGCCTCCACTAGGGGCTGGAAGGATTACACAAGGCACCCCCACCACCCCGCCCTCTCACACACATACCTGGGCGGTAACCACCCGGGCATGCAGGGGCAGTAGGTTTCTGCCAAGCAGATCATCAGCTGTGCCCAGCGGCGCTGGCTCTGATCCCTGAAGCTCACGGCCCTATCACACCCCTCCCTGGTCTGATCAGACCCTCAAACCCTCCACACGTCCTCCCCTCCCGGTAAGAAGCCCCATACCCCAGGCAACACCCCAGGTAAAGAGGCCGTCCCCCGCTACATGCAACATCTTTTCCTGTGCTGAGGCCTAACCTATGCTAGTCTTTTCTGTGGCAGAGCCTTCCTATCCATCTGTTTAAACAGAACTGCTTTTGAAATGAGGGAGCTATTGGGCTGTGCCAAACGTCATTCAAAGAACCTGGGGCAGGCCTAGAACCCACACAAAACAACCTCCGCTCTGGCTTGTCCTGGCTTCTGAAGCCCCTCCACTAGACAGATCTGGATCTTCATTCCCTAGATCTAGGCAGAAACTCCTGCTGGAACAGTGTGTGTATTGGGGTGGGGGGTGGGGGAGTCCCAAATGCCTGCATGTGCAGCAGGCCTGCACTCCAGGACCTCTCTGCACCCCCACTGTGAATTATTTCATACATTGCTGCCTGCCTTCAGGAAGGCCAGCAGGTAAGCAGGGTGTCCTGGTCCCTGCTCAGCTGCTGACAACTGATGGCCTCAATCAGAGCCTTGGTCTTGCCCATCTGAAAAATGGGCATACTAAAACCTATTTCAGGGGTTAGCGTCTGGTTCAGATGCAGCATATGAAGTGTGGTTATCACAGAGCCAGGTCTGTGGGGTACTAGCTAACGGTCTCTAAACCAACCAAACCAAACCCACTGCCATCGAGCGGATTGCGACTCATAGCGACCCTACAGGACAGAGTAGAACCGCTCCAAGGAACAGCTGGTGGATTCGAACTGCCGACCTTTTTGGTTAATGGTCTCTATTCACCATCGAATGAGCAGAGTGGGCCCCAGTGGGTCTTAAGCAGGGGTGGGCTCCCTGAAGGGGGCTTTCCCACGAGAGTGTGCTACCACCCATCCCTTATTTAGAGAATTCCTCCAGAGGGGGATGGGGAAGGGAAGGGGGAGGGGGAGGCTTGGTTAATGCCCCCTGCTCTGTGAATGGGCCTGTCTTGGACCCCAGAGCCTCCCCCATCGGCCGCTCCCCGAGGTGGCACCACTCCCAATGCACGACTCTGTGTAACTCCCTCCAGTCTCTCCCCATGCTCTCACTTGATGTCTCACTGCCAGTGACACCTCCTCTTTGCCTGATAGGCCTCTCGGAGTTGAAAAGGTCCAAAACCAAGTTATGAGTACCCTACCCTCCTGTCATGCATCCCTCCACACGTCTTCCCCACACTAGGATTCCCGGTTCATCCGCCATTCAAGCCAACATCTTTGGAGCCCTCCTCAACTCCTCTCTGGTGTTCACAGCCAGGGCCAGCCCACCCACACAGCCACTGCTCTGCCTCCACAGGCCTCCCATGCACCCACCACCTAGGGTGGAAGGCTCTCTGCTCTGGTCTGGTCTCCAGTCTTTCCTCAACCCTGCAGACCAAGCGACTTTTAAATACGTAAACCAGACACCACTCCTCAGCTCCACATCTCCCCTTTGCTGTTGTCTTAGACTAAAATCCCTGAGCCACCTGTGATGTATCTGCCTCTCCCCACTCTCCCCTCCGCACACATCTGCCCCCCACTCTGGCCTCAAATGTGCCAAGCTTGTTCCCACCACAGGGCCTTTGCACCTGCAGTTTCCTCTGTGATGATGTTGAGCCCTGCTCGAACCCTGTGCTCCTGGAAAACAGTGGCCCCAGACTTTGTGTCTGGGAAACACTGCAACAAATCCCCTCCCCATCCAACCTAGGTAAGGGGATGACTCCTAGCTTACCTATGACAACGTCAGATATCAAACCAAATCATACACAGGTGCCGTCAAGCTGACTCTGACTAACGGTGCCCCTATATGTGTCCGAGTAGAACTGTGCTCCATACAGTTTTCAATGACTGATTTTTCAGAAGTAGATTGCCAGGACTTTCTTCTGAGGTGCCTTTGGGTGGACTTGAACCTCCAACCTTCCATTTGGTAGCCAAGTGCCTTAACCATTTGTTCCACCCAGGGACTCCAGGCCAGACACAGACCCACCAAATTCCCATTCCTTGGCTCAGAAATGAGTGAATAGCCAAACTGTTTGTTGTCCTGAAACTTAATACAGAGATAAACATTTCCTGCTCAGCCAACTGCCTGACAGTCCCAATTACAGAAACAACTCCCACTGTAAAATCAACCCATCTACACCCGAAAATCAGCCAGTGAAATCCTACGGATCACAATGGAACACTGTCCAATAGCACGCTGAAAGACTGAGCCCCCTAGGTTGAAAGGCACTCAAAATACACAGTGGCTGCAACAATGAACTGGAGCACACCAACAATCATGAAATGGCACAAATAAGACAATGTTTCGTTCTGTGGTACACGGGGTCACCATGAGTTGGAGCAGACCCCAGGGCAACTAAAAACAATGCCATATCTACTCTGCCCTAGAAAAGTCTGCAGCGAAACCATTCTGAGTCAGAGCCCCCACAGTGCTGTATTCTCTACCTGGCTTTCTCCCCTACGGTGCTGGATTGCAAAATCATTTCCTTTGCTAGGCTCCCCACCCTCAGCTTTGCATTTGAATCCTGCTTTTGCTTGTGGATTATATGTAAACCCCACTGCACCTGAGTAGTATGATTAAGGATGTTGCTGACGTAACTCGTATGAACTCCCTATTTGTAAACCCCTTTAAAAGTAACTTGCTTGCTCATGGAAGCTCCATAGACACATCCAAACTCCCTGAGGGACTGAATTGCTGGGTGGAGGGCTATGCAGACCATGGTCTTGGGGAACATCTAGCTCAATAGGCATAACATAGTTTATAAAGAAAATCTTCTACATTCTACCTTGGTGAGTAGTGTCTGGGGTCTTAAAAGCCTGTGAGCAGCCATCTAAGATACTCCACTGGTCTCACCCCTTCAAGAGCAAGGGAGAATGAAGAAAACAAGATACAAGGGAAAGATTAGTCCAAAGGACTAATGGACCACCAACTACCACAGCCTCCTCCAGACTGAGTCCAGTACAACTAGATGGTGCCTGGCTACCACCACTGACTGCTCTGACAGGGATCACAACAGAGGGTCCCAGACAGAGCTGGAGAAAAATGTAGAACAAAATTCTAACTCACTAAAAAAGACCAGAGTTACCGGCCTGACAGAGACTGGAGAAACCCCGAGAGTATGGTGCCCCGACACACTTTTATCTCAGCAATGAAGTCACTCCCAAGGTTCACCCTTCAGCCAAAGATTAGACAGCCCCATAAAACAAAACGAGACTAATGGGGCACAACAGCCCAGGGAGAAGGACTAGAAGGCAGGAGAGGACCGGAAAGCTGGTAATAGGGAACCGAAGGTCGAGGAGGGGAAGTGTTGACTTGTCATGGGGTTGTTAACCAATGTCATAAAACAATATGTGTACTAACTGTTTAATGAGAACTATCTGCTCTGTAAATCTTCATCTAAAGTACAATTAAAAAAAAAAAAAAGTACCTCGCCTGCCTGCCTGGCTGCCCTTAGCGAGCAGTATTGGCAGCAGCAGCTCCGGCTGACTCCATTTCCTTGTACAACGAAATAAAGGTGACTTTCCTGTTCTCCCACCTAGGTCTCTCATTTATTGGCCAATACTGGTCATGCTGAGTAAGAACTTGGGGTTTCCACCTGGTAACAATTCTGCCCAGATGCTCTTCCTGGGGTCTGGAGTGCTCTCCCTATCGCAGGAACTGAATAAGACCCACCTCCTTACTTTTCTGGTCTTTGCCCTGGCATCTGCCTAGAACATCTTCCCAGGTCTTTTCCGTGCAGCTGTCTTTACGTGCAGGCCTCTGCTGTGAGGCCACCTCTCCCCCAACATCAAAACTGGAGCAACCATCTCAGTCACTCGTATTTTCTTAACACGATTACCCACGACTCTCCCCGACCCCCCTCCAGCAAGGGGCCCATCACAGCACCTCCAGGTGCACCCAGCGTAGGTTCCCAGCCCACTCTGCAGGAAGCCCCTCCTCAGAGCCCAGGTACTCACAGAGCTCACACTTCAGGCCAAAGTTCTTTCCAATCTTGTTGATTCTGACCATGGGGGTATTCCCAATTTTCTTCAGGATATCTGGCAAAATTTTGGGGGGGGTTGACCTAAAATCAAGAAATCCATGATTATTCAGTAAAAGCAAAGAGCAGTCCCAGCACATTGTTTTCAATAAATCAAGAATCAAAGAAGTGGCTTTAATGAAGGATTTTGGTGGTGGTTACATAAATCTGTACATGGAATAAAAATGTCGTAGTAACACACACATGCACACACCTACACACCAGTGAAAACCCAGTCTTGCCTGTAGTTGTGTTCATAGCATTGTACCAACGTCAGCTTCCTGGGTTATCAATGCACTGTGGTCATGGAAGAAGTTTTCACTGGGAAAGCTGGGGTGAAGGTGACCAGGACCCCTTTGTACTATTTTTACAACCTTTTGTGAGTCTTAAATTACTTCCAAATTAAAAAGTTAAAATGAAAAAACAAACAGTGACTTAAAACAACCACCACAGATCCTGGTCCAGCTTTTTTAAAAAACGTCGTTGGCTGGGGAACTTCAATTCCCTTCATCTTTCAACATGGCCACTGCTGGGACATTTCCTTTTCTGTACAGTTCTTTGGCCCAAAAAGTGGTGTGGACCCCAGGGCACAGGCTCTGCAGAACCCCTCACGCATGGTGACAGTGACTGTAAATAACACAGCCAGGGGCTACACTGAAGACCAAGGGCCAAGAAATGTAATTTTGTCCATGTGACCAGGCTCGGGGATTCTCAGGTAGAGTTCCAGGCTCAGAAGTGACTGCCTTTTCCCTGGGCCAACTATCTCCATTCTCCCCCATTCTTCCCACCTGACAAGGTAGGCTGATCTGTAGCATTTGCCTATGTGCAGACTGTAACACGGGCAGCTTCCTGAAGGTACCCATGAGGGAAGGCAGCCCATCCCAGGTAAAGGATAGAAACTTATTTTCTCATGGTTCGGGAGGCTGGAAGTCAAATTCAGGGCACCAGCTCTAGAGAAAGGCTCTTTCAGCTTCTATTTCTCGGTTCTTTGCCAGTCTCCACACGACATCTACCTTTCCCCCATTTGTCCTTGTTTGTGCTTGCCTCTCTCTGTCTTGTTGTTGAGTGCCGTGGAGTCAACTCCGACTCAGAGTGACACCATGTGACAGGGCAGAACGACCACATAGGATTTTCTAAGCTGCCATCTTTACAGGAGCAGACAGCCAGGTCCTTCTCCTGCAGATCTGCTGGGTGGGTTCAAACTGTCAACCTTTCTGTTAATTGCCAAGTGCTTATCTGTTGTACCACCAGGGTGCCTTCTGTCTAATCTGCTCTTTTTACACCTCCAAAGTCATTAGGTTTAAGACACACTCTACATTGATATAGCTTCATTAACATAACAAAGAAAATCTTATTCCCAAATAGGATTTGGCTATAATCTTTACAGAAGCATATTGCCAGGCGTTTCTTCCAGGGAGCCAGTGGGTGGGTTTGAACTGCCAACCTTTAGGTTAGCAGCCAAGTGCAATCTGCTTGCACCACCCAGGCTCCTTTTTCCACAGGAGTGAGGGTTAGGATTTCAACACATATATATGGAGGACACAATTCAGTCCATAACACCAGGGAGAGAGGCCAATTCCTTGCCCCTTCCACCTTCGTGCAAGGGATGTGCTCACCAAACACCCACCTGGAAACATACACAGCCAACCTGGGTTTCAAGTAATGCAATTGCTTCTGAGCACCTTAGAGTTCTAATTTGCTTCTTTGAGATTCTCAAACAGGTGACCCCCAGTCACCTTCACAGGAGTTGATTAACTATGCATATTCTTTGGGCCCACCCCTAAGACTGACCCACAGGTCTGGGGTGGGCCCATCTCCTTAGGTGGACTGGCAACAAAGGGGCTGTTATGGATTGAATTGTGTCCCCTAAAAATGTGTGTCAACTTGGCTAGGCCATGATTTCCAGTATAGTGTGGTTCTCCTCCATTTTGTGATCTGATGTAATTATCCTGTGTGTTGTAAATCCTAACCTCTATGATGTTAATGAGGCAGGATTAGAGGCAGTCATGTTAATGAGGCAGGATACAATCTACAGGATTAGGTTGTATCTTGAGTCAATCTCTTTTGAGATATAAAAGAGAGAATTGAGCAGAGAGGAGATGGACCTCTTATCACCAAGAAAGAAGAGCCGGGAGTGGAGCACATCCATTGGACTCTGGGTTCCTGCACTAAGAAACCCCTAGACCCAAGGGAAGATTGATGACAAGGACCTTCCCCCAGAGCTGACAGAGAAAGCCATCCGTTCCCTGGAGCTGGCACTCTGAATTCAGACTACTAGCCTTCTAAACTGTGAGAGAATACATTTATCTTTGTTAAAGCCATCCACTTGTGGTATTTCTGTTATAGCAGCACTAGACAACTAAAACAGGGGCTAAGGGTTGTTAAGCTGTCAAGCCCGGGCCCAAACTGGCAGCCACCTGGAAAGCTTGGTGCTGTGTTCAATACTACCCTTCCAATGTGGCAGAGAGAGTCCCACTCTTCCCCAAGGATCCAGAGAGAAGAACTAGAACAGACCCCACCCCACATGGGAGACAAGAAGGACCCTCTCCCAGGCAGTCCTTTGCAAGGAGTGGGTCCAGTCTCAGCAAGGTGAACAGAGAGAAGTCTGGGTGGGAGGGAGCCTGGCCCAGGAGGCAAAGTCCTGACCCCAGAAACTTCTGGGAGGTCTGGGCAGGGGTCTTGATCCTGGTGCTCAGCTGAGGTGTTCATTAACTCAGTAGAAGCCAGAGGCCACAGAGGACAGCCCGAACCCTAACATGGGGGAGGGGAGGAGGGCTGATGGGAGGCTGAGCCATCCCCCTTTTCCCCGGGGGGGTGCCAGGGGAGGAGGATGGAGGCAGGAGGTGGTGGGCAATGGAGAACTCGGGTTTCCTGCCTTGGCCTGGGGCCAGAAGTCTCCCAGAAGCAACGTTAGAGACAAGCAGCGTGCCAAAAGTCAGAACTTACTTGTACGCCAACATTCACTGCAACACTCTTCACAAGAGCCAAAGAGTGGAAACAACCCGTGTCCATCAACAGATGAACAGATACACACGCGTGGTCTATACATACAACGGAACTACTCGGCCGTGGAGACAAATGACATCTTAAAGCATGCTACAGCATGGATGAACCTTGAAAACACCATGCTGAGCGTAATAAGTCAGTCGCAAGGGGACAAATATGCATGACCTCACTTATATGAAAGATAGACATATAGAAACCAAAGGTTGACCGTGGTTACCAGGGGTGGGAGGGAGGAAGAAAGGGGAAGGTTTTGCTTACAAGGCATTGAGTTTATGTTGATGGTAGTGAGACCATTTGGAAAAGGAGAGCAATAATGGTTGCACAACATGAAGAATGTAATCAATGTCACTGAATTATACATGTAGAAATGGTTGCATTGGCAAATGTTTTGTTGTGTATATTTTCACCACACGCACACACATACAAACACACACACACACAGAATAGGATGGACCACGGGTGGTCCTGGAGTCTGCACATCTCAGTTGCTCTCACCTTGACCACCAGGAGACCTCTGGGAGGACAACCCACAGCATCTTAGACCAAACCCACACTCCTAGCCAGGGCTGCTAGGCTTCGAGAGCCTTCCTTCTGTGGTTGTGCCCTGCCTGCTCCCCCTGCCCTCTCCCAAAGCTCACCTTAGCCTCCAGCCCAGATGTTCACCTGGCAGGTGCCTCTGACTATGCAGGTACCAGCTCAGAGAGGCCTTTCCTAGTGCCTGACCCCCAGCCTGTCTCACCACCTTGTCTGAAGGTCTCCATGGATCTCACTATCAGTGATCCCCTGTGACCGTGCCGCCCCCCAGGCAACCTGTCCAGTGCATGGGGGTGTCCTCCCAGCAAATGACCCGCCAGCCTGGACTCAGGCAGAGCCCACTGCCCTGACTGCAGGCTCGAGTTTCAGGGTGGGACACCAATCCCTTCAGATTTCCATGAGGATTAATCAGACCATAGGAGCCTTGTGGTACAAGTGGTTTGCGATTGGCCGCTAACCTAAAGGTTTGAACCCAAGGCACCACAGAAGAAAGGCCTGGCAATCTGCTTCTGTAAGATAAAGCCAAGAAAGCCCTATGGAGCAGCTCTACTCTGTAACACATAGGGGCACCATGAGTTGGGGGCCAACTTGACGGCAGCTAACAGCAATAACCGGACTGTACCAGGCGTAATGTATTTTACAATCTGACACCATTGCTTCCCCCTACACCCTGGAGTTAGGAGCCTCGGGATCTAAGGTCTCCCCTGCCCCACCCCCACCCCAGCACCCCACTGCACCACCCTGGCCAGCCTTTCACCCAGTGCTCCAGTTTGTTTTGGCAGTGAGTGCTTATCCGTCTGAGCGGTTACCCAGGTTGGCCTAAGCGCCCAGCATTGAAATCCATTTAATAGTCCAGAACTTCCAGGTTTGTAAAGTTCCGTTTCCTCAACTGGACCCATTGACTGAGGCAGCCCCCTCCCCACCACTGCCTGTTCCGACTTTGAAATAAATGGGAGACCCTCCCCTCAATGCTGGTAGCAGTAAGTAACAAACACCTACAAAGTCATATTCTTGGACTCATTTCTTCTACTTCTGGAAGATTAAGTCAAGCAACTAGTCACAGATAACGTTAAGATTTAGGGAGCTGCGATTAAGTTTCAGGATGGGCACACCATACACGAACACTAACTCAAAATGGATCAATGACCTACATGCTAAAATTAAAACTATACAGTTCATGGAGAAAACACAGGGACAAAGCTAGGGGCCCTAATTTATGGCATAAATAGATTATCAAACGTAACTGAAAGTGCACAAACAGCAGAAGATAAACTAGATAACTGGGACCTCCTAAAAATTAAATACTTATGCTCATCAAAAGAGTTCACCAAAACAGTAAAAAGAGAACTTACAGACTAGGAAAAAGTTTTTGGCAATGACATATCTGACTAGGGTCTAATCTCTAAAATATACAGAAAACTTACAACATCTCAACAACAAAGACAAACAATACAATTAAAAAATGGGCAAAGGACATGAACCGACACTTC